AAGTGTCTGAGGTCCGAATGGACAAACTCCCCAGCAAAGACCAGGCTTCTGGAAGGAGGCTTTGCAGGGTCCAGCCAGAGACCCTCTCAGGGCTCCGAGGCCCGCCTGTTGGGGGCTCCCTACCCTCGCTGGGCCTGGAGAAGCTCCGCCTGACAGCCCTTCCCAGCCTGGCTCTCGCAGAGCTCGGGGGCTCCCCACTCTCAGCCGGGGCTCGCAGACACCCCTCGGGCTGAGGGTGTGCTGGGGCCCCTGGGGCCTGCCCAGCCATCCCCCGCTTTCTCACTCACCTGGATCCCGGGGCGCCACTCGGCTCTCAGAGAAGGATAAGAAGGAAATGCAAGCGAGCACCAGGGCTGTCCACATCTTGTGGGTGAGCCGGGAGCAAAACCGGGCACTCCCCGGGGCTCCCAGCCGCCGTTCAGGCTGCTAACGATGCCGGCTACCCGGCCGAGGGATCTGTGATCAAGAGACAAGGCGTCCGGTCAGTCACGCACAGCCTGGCCTGGTCTGGCGTGCCAACAAGCCAAGTGCCTCGACCAGGCTGGCACCCAGAAGAGCGCGCTGTGTCTCGCCACAGTGGTTAGTGATCTGACCAGCGTCTGTGTTTGATGGTTTAAAGCACTTCCTGACCCGGTTCCACTATGAGTCTCAACCCCACAAGTGCCCACTACCCACCCCGAGTTCAGAGTTTGAAGGAGCAGCAGGGCAAGGGCCGAGGCCTCCTGATCACCAAGATGGGCCAAGTCTTCCTCCTCAACGTCTCCTGTGGCCGTGGGACACAGCCCAGGCCCAGGGCACCTCTGTGCAGCCCGGACGGCGGACCAGGCCCTTCACACGGAGACGCCACTCAGCCAGCCACCATCCAGCCACCCATCCTGCCACCGTCCAACACCCCAGTGCCCGCTCCTGTGCCAGGCAGCGCACAGGACAAGAAGGTGGAAGCCGCACACCCGCCTCCAGGAAGCCTGCCGTCCTCGGGAGACACAGAAAAGGGGTCCCTGCGGGCGGGCGCAGACGTGGAACGGAGGCGTGACTCCAGCAGGAAGCCTTGCAGGTCTTGAAGGCTAAGTTGAAGGCGGGTCCTCTGGGAGACTGGGTGAGGGTGGGGAGCATAGGGTGCTGTAGGAGTCCAGAGGAGGCACTGAACTCAGGGTGGGTGGGTGGGTAGGAGTGGGTGTCAGAGAAGGTTTGCTGAGAAAGTGGCACCTGAGCCATGTTCTAGAAGATGGATGGGCTCCGCCTGCTGGAAGGCAAGTGGGAGAAAGCAGCAGGTGACAGCAGCAGGGTGAGACCCAGGGTCAGTGTGGTGAGACCTGCGATTAGACTGGACAGGTAGGTTGTCCTCCAGGTGAGGGGCGGGGAGGGCACAGGCCGGCAGGCAGGGACAAGGCCCCACGAGGCTGTGGAATTGGTGAGGGGGCGCCACTGTCGAGACGGAGGGCAGGCTGAGAGGACTGGTTGCAGGAGCCCAGCGTACATCCCATTAATTAATTAAATAGTCCACCTGTGGGAGACAGCCTGAAGGCAGAAACTTCCGGAAATGCCACCATGGCCAAGCCTTGCCAGGATGAGGCCTAGGGTGCACGGGGGTGTTGCCACACTCACCCTGGGTCCCTCTTGAGTGTCACAGGCTGGTACTCCTTGCTGCAGGGATGCCACGGGGAGCCGAGGGGCCAGCTGACCTCAAGTGTCCCGTCACCTCAGCCCTGCCCAACGGCCTGAGTCCCACATGGTCCTCCCGGACAGCAGCCTGGCCACACTCGGTCAGGCCTGGTCCCTGACTCACCGCTCGATTCGGGCAGAGGGCAGGCCGGTGGGACTCAAAGGGCAGGCAGGCAGCAAGAGTGGGGCTCCCCAGTGTCCCTCCAGAGTCAACCCTGCCTGAAGCCACCTTAGGCCTTCGGTCTCCCCAGGGGCCCTCACCGTGCGGGTCCCGAGTTCCACGGAGCATCACGGGAGGGAGCCGAGGGCACGGAATGAACATCCTGACCGGCTCCCCGCCCAGCACGGCCCTGCAGCCAGGCCGCTCCCGGTGACCGGCACAGGCTCTGTCTCCTCCCGCCCCCAGCAGCCCGAAGCGTCACAAGTGAATCACCGCTGCCCTGACCCACTTGCCCCCACCCCCACCCCACAGCTGCCCAAAAGGCCCTGGCAACCCACAAAGTTGACCCTGCCTCCACGGCTCAAACCCCCACTTCCCTAGATAACCCCAAAGCTCCGTAACACGGCCCCGGCGGCCTCCAAAGTCTGGCCCCACTGGCCTCTCCGCTACCCTCGCCCCCGTCCCGGGCACGTGGAACACCTGTCGCTCCCAGTGCAGAGCCCACAGACAGCCCGTGCAGCAGAAAGGGATGTTTCTGGGGCAGCCACACGGTGGCTTTCTGCCTCCTGTGATGGATGGGGACGGTTGTAAGGTGGCCCCATGACTGCAAACCCCATCTGAGCACAAGCTCTTCCGGAAGCCGGCACATCCCCTGGTGCTTCTGACCCCTCCCCACGAGTCACGGACTTTATCTCACTTCATCCTGCACTTTCCCTCCAAAACCGTCTGCAAGGGCTCGGGGCTCACAGGTTTGGAAGGTTGCTCAGCCCTACGAACCACAGATTGCATCCGTCTTCTAGAGAGCTGGGGCATTCTTTGTTGTGACAGGCAAGTGGGGGTGGGGAGGGGAGAGAAGAAACCGACACTGTCATGAGAGAAGAATCGGAGTGAAGGTCCCAGGCACGAAGAACTCGCCCCTCCACCCCCATCTGCCGAGGCCACGCAGCTGGGGTCCTGGTAAATGAATGCATTTAAGTGGCTCTCTCCAGCCAGTCACATCTGGGCATGTGCGGCCCTGCGCCTGAGCCTGGAGCTGGGTCCCCTGGGGTGGGATGACGTGTCAGGGCTTCCTGAGTGCACCCCAGGCCCCAGGCCCTCCCATGTCCCCTCGCTACAAGCCTCTAGAGCAGAGTTGGCAAACATTTCCTGTAAAGAGCTAGACGGCAAATATTTTAGGCTTTGTGGGCCACGCAGTCCTGGAGGATATGTACACGATGGGTGTGGCTGTGTCCCACTAAAACTTTGTTTGCAAAGACAGGTGGCAGGCAGGCCTGGTTTACAACCCCTGCTCGAGCAGTGAACTTCGGGGTGCGTAGACGCAGGGAGCGCCTGATTCGATGTGCTGAGCGGACTTCCTCCTCCCGCCTCACCCTGGGACAGACGTGGACCATTTCCCTCCTGTCCTGGGACAGGCCTCCCCCCAGAGCCCCTCTGCCGAGAGGCACCTTCCGTACCCCGTGTCAGCGAGATGCTGTGCACGGGAGCTCCCACAGTATTAGGGTATGGCGACACGAGCCGAGAAGCTTTGGAGGTGACTGGCTGGCATTTGTGTCACAGAAACAGATGAAGGCCACAGTGACCACACGGTCCCCACCTGTCCCCACCTTTGGACCACCCTCCCGGAGGACCTCAGAAGGCAGAACCTCTGCCGTGAAGAGCCACAGTCCGGGCCCCTCCTGGATATTGGGGGGCTCGGCCCTCAGGGCTTGGCTGTCTTCCCTTCCCCTTGAGGCTCCCTGAGCTTGCAGGGTCCCCTCCGAGCTCACTGTGCCGTCACCAAGCAGGTGACCCCGGCCCTGACACTCACCACAGGCAGGTGCTCAGGGCGCGCTCCCGGGCTCGGCACGGTGTGCTTGCCAGGCGAGGTCTGGCGCTGCAGGAGTGAGGCAGCTGCGAGGAGCGCTCCGGGCCGCGGCATGCTCTGTGGAACATGCGGGACTCGGGCAGATGCTCCGCTCTGGTAACTGTCGCATCTGGGGTTTGAAACAGAGTGAACACTTCTTAGGAAAAGCAGGAGGAAAACGGTCCGTGAGGAGGGGGGCAGCATTCAGTAGATCATGGCTGGGAAAATGAGACTGATCAAAACGTTCCCTGGCATGGCTTCCGGGCAGCACTTCCCTGCCCGGATTCCTCCTCAGGAAGCAATAGGACAGGTGTGCAGAGTGGAGAGCGACAGAGATGTGCATCACGGTGCTATTTATAATAGTACACAATCGGAATGGTTACGTAAAATAGGGTCCCACCATATATAAAATACTACGGCAGCTGTTAAAAATACACAAGTGTCTATTTACTGGCATGGGAAGATGCCCAGCGTGGAATGTGAAGTGAAATGAGCAGGTCACACACAGTACACACACCACGATCCTGTTTTTGGTTAAACAACCGTCTGGAAAGTTTTTATACCAGAATGTTCATAATGGTTATCCCTGGGGAACAGATTCACAGGTGATTTTCATTTTCTACTTTAGCTCTTTTAATTTTTTTAACAAGCTTGTATCACTTCTGGGAAACACTCCGAAAGCTCCAATGAAAGAGAGCAATGTCTGATTTTTTTCAAGTAATTTGAGCTCCCAGGCAGAAGAGGCCCACCTGACACAGTTTCACCCGCGGATTTTATAATTTAGAGAAACTTTATTATTTACATAACAGGAGATGCATTTTTTTTTTAAGAGCTGATCAAAACGTTAGAGGAATCCAGGGATATGACAGCAAAGCAAAGATATTAATCAGCACAAAGGCCCACTCCCTAACACAAATGCTCACCTATGCACAAATATACATATCTGCACAGGCACACACCTGTGAGCATGCAGTCACACTCGTGTGTACACAGCTGCTTGCATATCCATTCACACACAGCTACACATATATGCGCACTGCCACACGTATACATATGCAGTCACACCCATGCATGTGCGCAAAACAATCACACACACAACAAGGCGAGTGGACACACGGAGTATTTCTATCAGGCTGTATCAGGAAACTCCACAAGATTCTCAGTGAGCTTCTGCCGGATGCCATCACTGCCGGTTCACTCCCAGGCAGTAGGACTGCGGATCACTCCCACGGAGCCGGGAACTGGCTGCTGTGCAGAGTCGAGAACAGGCCCTTACTGTGCCGTGACTTCATCTCTCGGGTATGGTCCTGCCTCCACTTTCCAACAGCCTACTCAAAATGTCAGGATTAATTTGTGGGGACCTGTGCTAATCTGGGAAGTTGACTCACAACAGACAAACCATTCACAAGATTTAAAATAAGTTTCCCCTGCAAAGGCTTCAGTGAACCTTAAAAGAGGGTCAGGCCAGTTACTCTCATCGTTATCTGGAGACTAGACAGATCAAGATCTCAGACTACGCTAGACGGAAAGTGAAGAGACCCCTGGGCAAGAGGGAAATAGCAAGAAAAAATGAAGTTAAGTGGGAGGGAGACGAGGGCAGATGGAAAGACAGGAGGTTAGGCTGGTGCTGGGAGTTCCCCCTTTTCAGGGGTCAGCTCCCACAAGTTCTGCAGAGAAGAGGCAGTACCCCCATGAGCCAGGCACCGCTCCATCAAAAAGGCAGCCCCATGCCTGGCTGGCCTGGCTCAGTGGTTGAGCATTGACCTATAAATCAGGAGGTCCCAGTTGGATTCCCAGTCAGGGCACATGCCTGGGTTGCGGACTTGATCCCTAGTAGGGGATGTACAGGAGGCAGCCGATCAAGGATTTTCTCTCATCATTGATGTTTCTCTTTCTCCCTTCCTCCCGAAAATCAATAAAAAGAGGTATTTTTTAAAAAAAGGGAGCCCCAGACAGCTCTTGGTGTCACCTTCCTGATCCTGTTCTAACACCTCAGCACCTCCCGTGTCTGATTACTTGTGTTCCCAGGCTTGGCTTGGTTTTAAACTCTTTTATGAACCTGTTTGTTACATGCAGGGTGCTGCGTGCAAGTTACGTGAAACCAGACTGCTTCCAATGCCTGATTCCTTTTTCTGGCTTACACAGGTTCCTAAGACCCAACACGGGAACCCTCAGGCTTGGCAAGGGACTACACACCTGTTACCCCACCTTCCGTGGCTCTGGCAATACTTATGTATCAGCAGCATCATGACCCCAGTCCTTACTCCAAGCTGGAGAAACTGTATGTACCAAGGAGTAGGGACTGTGAGAGCAAGTACAGGGCAGACCGGCGGCACCTATCCTGACACGCCACCTGGCTGAACTTTGATAGCAGAACCCAAGGGACACAGGCGTGTGGTTTTGTGTATGTAGACGTTGTCCTGTGGTCCAAAGGGTGTGCCCCTGTGGCAAATGGGGGCTGGAGCAGTGGACATTGTCTTAATTACACTGATTGCTTCCGGGTTTCTGCAAGTTTTGGTATCACAGTTAAATGCTGATCGACAGCCTCGTTTTTGTTCGCAATGTGCCTGTGTGGCAAGTTTGGCCTATAAGCAGAAAAACCGGTATTTTAGGTGCTTTCCTCGCCGATTTATTGAAATTTTAGAGATGCTTCCTTTGGGGAGAAAACAAAACATTATAGGCAGAATTGTTAAGTGCCACATATATGTTTTATGGCAAACTCTGTGGATGCTGACTCCTCGTGATTTTCTAGCCGTGGGCAAACTATGGCCCGCGGGCCGGATCCGGCCCGTTTGAAATGAATAAAACTATTGAAAAAAAGAAGACCGTACCCTTTTATGTAATGATGTTTACTTTGAATTTATATTAGTTCACACAAACACTCCATCCATGCTTTTGTTCCGGCCCTCCGGTCCAGTTTAAGAACCCATTGTGGCCCTCGAGTCAAAAAGTTTGCCCACCCCTGTATTAGCCTAACAGTTAAATGCACACACTGTTAAGCAGCCACCCAGTCGCACATGGAGGAGGTAGATAAGTAGATGGAAAAGTACAACCCCTCCCTGATAGAAAGGGCCTGCGGAGGTCTGCGTCACCTAAAGGGCCAACACTCCCTGGGCCCATCCTTGCCCTTGGAGGACATTTCAGTGCCCCGCCTACACGGGAGTGTCCCAACGTTCCCATCTGCTCCTCCCAAACCGGAACAGCCTGGGCCTCTTCTCTGGTTTGCGATCCCCTGGCTCCTGCCTCTCGGGCCCCCATCCGGGCTCTTCCTTTGGAGTCTTAGCCCCCAACCGACTCCTTCTGTTTCTTCCTCTTCCCCTGTTCCGTGCCAGTGTGGCGGGAAAAGGGACCACGTACT